TGCCTCACACGGTCAAAGTCTGTTCTATTGTTGATGCACTACAAGTTTGCCTTATAAATGATAGGCATACAAGGCTATTTGTATTTGTAGCCTTTCTGGTTTCTCAAACTGACATAAACATGAAGTGTGGCTAGATCCCAGTTGACTTAACCAAGTCTCATTCAAGCGACACACATATAGAAAAAAGAAAGAAAAAGTGCAGGGCGAGGATCTCGCTTGGTGCAGGGTGAGGATCTCGCTTTCTCACCCCGACATTGGCACCCACCACGTTTCCGCCCATGTCTCGCCCCCCTTGGCGGCCCACATTGGTGGATTACGGGCGTTTACAGACCCCAGGGGCGACGATGAGAAGCTTGCCTTCCTTGCAGAGCTACATGACTTTCGTAGCACGAGCGCAGGACCATGGCTTGTGGGTGGCAACTTTAACATGGTCACTTTTGCGGAGGACAAGAACAATAGGCTTAACCACCGAATCATGATCCGCTTCCGGCATTTCATCGCGGACATGGAGTTGTGTGATATCTACCTTCATGGTCGGCGTTATACCTGGTCTAATGAGCAAGACCATCGCACCTTAGTGCGCAATGACCGAGTCTTATGCACCCCTACCCGGGGGTCGTCTCTGCCTAGTTGCATGCTTCGTTGTCTCTTCTCGACAGTGTCTGACCACTGTCCGCTTCTCTTGGATTGTGCGTCCACCTCAGAGGCCGCTAAACGCTTCCACTTTGAGCGCTTTTGGATTTAGTTGGAAGGTTACATTGAGGTTGTGTCCCAGGTTTGGAATTCCATCGAGCCAGACCCCGATCCTTTCCGCAGGATCTATGATCGCCTTAATGCTACAGCGCGCAAGCTTCGCAGTTCGAGGGCGAGGAAGATGGGCGGCATCTCCCTCCAACTTTTGCTTTCCTGCGAGATCATTGCCCACCTGGATGAGGGGCAAGACTCTCGGCCACTCTCCCATGGCGAGAGGTGGTTGCGCCGCAAGCTCAAGCACACGTACCTCGGCTTGGCCTCGCTTGAGCATTTCCTCACGGAGCAGCATTCGAGATTCTCCTGGATGTGGGTTGGCGTGGCTAATACCGCCTTCCGCAGCATCCATGCTCCCATCGCCTCGGCTGGGGCCGAAGAGGAGGAAGGTCTTGAGCACGGAGACGAAGGAGGGGAGGGGCCGGTGCTCGGGGAGGAGAGTGCAGCTCTGTGCATCGCCAGCGCACGGCGTAAATAGCCGCGACGAGGCCGAGGCGACGGGCCGGTCAGCCCGCTTCAATGCGGCAGCAGCCAGAGTTGGTTGCTTGGGATGAGGTGTCCACATTGAATCGGCGACGCCCTAGAGGTCACGTCCGTCAGCACCGCCCTTCCGTCCGATCAAATCACGGCATCAATGCCGGCCACTGCATGTCCCGGGCTAGCATGAATGCGGCGCAAGCAACGCGACACGTGGGATAGAAAGCGTGGGAGGGGCAGGTGTGTGTGTTTGTGTCTGGGGTGGGGAAGGGGGGCTTGGTAGGCCAGGGCGATCAGAAGCGGGCGTGGGAGTGGTCTCGATTCCCGAAAAGCCTTTCACAGAGAAAGTACGTCTGGACTGTGCCGCGGACCAATTCAGACCCGCGTTGGATGGCTTCCGCTCTCAAGACAACGCGGTTCGGACGGATGTGGTGGAATGTTCTTGAGCGTGACGGAGGTGTGTTGCTTGGTCTGACCTCTTACAAAAGGACATGTAATTTCTTGCGTCCCAAGTCCCAAATCTTCCTTTGCTAACATGACGGTTTTGCCAGACTTGGTGGTGGAGCGGTGTCGGTGGCAGCAAATCCCAAATGTCTTGCTTGTTGTCTAGTACTAGTATCTAGTCCGTCGATGCATGCTGGTGCTACTGGCGAGCCGCTGCCAAATTCGCAGAGCAAGACATGTTGATTTGCACGGCTCGGATCCACCAACCTAACCTGCGCTGACGAGGCCACGACGTACGCCCCGGACGCATACGGCGCCGCAGTCGTTGTGGCGCTTGGCCTTTTCTGCACGTACGTACACCATACCCATGCACAGTAATGTACACTGTACTCCTACTTCGGAGTTTGGACGCCAGCGAGCCGGCGACAACGCGCCGAGAGTACGTACGTACGCGGCAGCAGTGACCGCACTACGTGCCGCGCAGTGCCAACGGGGCGACGACGACGAGGGCCGTTGTGGGGCAGGTAACTTTGGAAGATCATTGCAGAGAACCGAGAGATCGATCATCTGCGGATCACTGTGGTTGTGAGCCTCGCTATACTTCAGCTTTTTCGTGCTTACTTGCTTACCATCTCCTGATGATAGCAAGTGCAAGTTTTTTTAAACATATTTATAGACTTACACGTACGAATTTAATTTCAATTGTTTGGGCACGGAAGTGGTATAGCTTTCCATGCACGAGCTCGTGGTGAGGTCATTGTCACTTGCCAGACAGTGGTTTGGTCGTGACTGGGATATATTGCGTAGAGAAAAAAAATGGATTATCTTTGGTACGGAGGGAGCACGTTGTCTCTTGACGTGACAAGTTTAATTAGGTAGGTCCTAATCTCATAGGTCCATTTCAAAACAAGCTAAGGAAAAGGGTAGGGAAGTGTTTAGAAACGGCGTACCGGCCGAACCGTTCCGCCGGTTCACACGCCACGCTGGCAAACGCGCCCGCGCATCCCCGCCTCCTTCCTTACGCGCCTCCATCCCCTACCTTCAGCCTACGTGCGCGCACCTCCCCTCCCCCGCGCTGCGACTGGGCCTCCATGAACTCCATCGCCGGCGGCCAGGCGCTCCCTCGCCGGCCGTCATGGCTGCATGCTGCGATGGCCAGATCCATCCCCAACCTACAGCCTTCAAGGGCGCGCATCCCCTCCCCTCCTCCTCCTCCCGGGCAGCGACTGGGCCACCACAAGCTCCATCGCCGGCGGCCAGGGCGCTCCCTCGCCGCCCGCCATAACTGCCTGCCCGCCATGCCCGGATCCACCCGCGTATAGAAGTGTTGCAACCGTCACCTAAAAAAGCTTCAACGGCCATTCAAAAAAGCTTCAACCATAGACATAGAAAGCTTCAATGGCACTGCACAACAAGGGGAAGCTGCAACCATAGTTGAATTTTGCTACTACCGGCGAAGCTTTTTGCTACATCCATCAGGCGGAGCTCGGACCTCGCGACGACGACAACGATGTTTTGCTGCAACCGTAGCAGGATTTTGCTACAACTAGCATCGTTTTTTGCTACAACCGGCATAATGTTTTGCTACATCCATCATGGCCGAGCTGCGACCCGCGACGACGACGACGGCTTTTTGTTACAACTGTCATAGGTATTTGCTACGTCCGGCAATGGGCTTTGTTACATCCGTTTATTTTTTTAGAATGCAAATGTTCGCTACAACCCATTCTTTTTTGTTGCAACCATGTCTCCATTTTGCTACGACCAACAACTAAAAATGCTACAACGGCCAATTATATTTGCTGGAACCAGTCAATCGTCAGCGAGGCGGAGCTGCATCCATGGCGTGCGCAGGCGGGATCCATCCATGGCGAGCGCGGACGGCGAAGCTGCATCCATGGCGAGCGCGGCCAGCGGAGCTGCATCCATGGCGAGCGCGGCCAGAGGAGCTACATCCATGGCGAGCGCGGATCTCCGACGAGCGCGGGCGGCGGAGCTGCATCCATGGCGACCGCTGTTCTTGGGCAAACGCAGAAGGCCGGCGAGGGCGCCCACCGGCGACGAGGGAACGCCGCGGTGGTGCTTCAAGCTCGACCGTTTTCTCGCGCGATATGGCGTGGTCTCGGCGGCGCTCGGGGGGAGGAGACAACGTTTCTGCGAGAGGAAGAAGGGAGCTGGGTGAATCGTTTTTTTACCTAGATCTGACGGTTTCCGCGATTTGATCTGACGGCCCGCGCGCGACCGGCCGAAACGTTGGGCCGGTGCGCCGGCGCAGATCACTGCCCAAAATGGTAATATCAATTTTTTCGACCTCTGTGAGGCATCTAAATAAGCTTTGGTGGTTGGCCCACCCAGCAGTGGCTGATAGCGACACTGATGGATCCTTTGTGGGTGGCTGGCACATCGTTGCACACCACCGTCCGCCACCTTCGGCAGGGTTCCGTCGCCCTACTTTCATGGCACGGCCGACTCTCCGGGCGTGGCCGAGCGACCGTTGTCGTGGTTCTAAACCTGACAGTAGAGTGGGGGGTAGGTATGGAGAGGCAAGGTCCTAGCTATGGAGAGGTTGTAAGCACAAAGGATGTACGAGTTCAGGCCCTTCTCGGAAGAAGTAACAGCCCTACGTCTCGGAGCCCGGAGGCGGTCGAGTGGATTATGAATGTATGAATTACAAGGTGCCGAACCCCTCTGCCTGTGGAGGGGGGTGGCTTATATAGAGTGCGCCAGGACCCCAGCCAGCCCACGTAGGAGAGGGTTTAAGGTGAGTTAAGTCTGGGGCGTTACTGGTAACGCCCCACATAAAGTGCCTTTACTATCATAAAGTCTACTTGATTACAGGCCGTTGCAGTGCAGAGTGCCTCTTG